CTCCCTATGTGGGACACAGCTTCCCAGGCCTGGGCTCTGGGAAGTCTAAGGGTGGGGCCTAGCTCAGGCAGGGTGTGGGAAGGGTGGGGCCTCCAGGAGAAGGCCACCCAAAGGAGAACTTACTTCATGTCACACATGGGGGTGGGGTGGTGAGAGTGTCCGCGCTGGGGGGTAGGCAGAGGTGGGCACAGCCTGTGTAAAGGCTCTGAGGAGAACCAGCACTCACCGGTTCCTGACCAGTGAGCATCTGAAAAACAACGGGACTGCGATGACAAATCTGGCACCGGGACCTCCCTCCTTTCCAGCCGTACCAGTCTCCTCCCATTTCCTCCAACACACAAGCTTGAGCCCATCGCTGCTGCAGACCCTGCCCTTTCCTCTGCCTGGACATTTGCTTAGCCTCAGACAGGCCTTCTGAGCTCACCTGCCTAATGAATAAATGACTGGCTGACTGACTGACTTAATAAATGAATGAATGAGGCTGTGTGTGCCTGGAGCACAGGCTGGCCAGCAAATCAGCAAAGGAGATGGGGGCAGGTGGCAAGGCTGGGGTAGTGTAAAGCCTGGTGGACGATGAGAAGCCACAGGAGGCCTTGGGCAGGTGAGGGGCAGTGCCATGGAACCCCTTCGTCACTCCCAGGAGCTGCCTCAGAGCCCAGTTACTCCTAACTTGTCCAGGCAGAAGCCTGGAGGAAGGGCCTTGCCCTGGGGTCACAGCCAGTGGAAGGCCCGGGGCTCTAGGCACAAGCAGGCGTGTCCCTGGTCCTACTGTGTGCTGCAGCAGCCAGTATGGCACTTCTGGAAGAACTGGATCCCTGGTTCTCTGAGGGCCTATAACACACCAGCCCTATAACCAAGTAGTTCCAGCCCTGGTCCTAAGGAATGGGGCCTGGACAATGCCTGGCACACAGTAGGTGTTCAATAAAGACTCATTTCCTTCTTCCTGCCCTTCTCCTGACTGTTACCCCCTTGCCCTCCTGAGAAAGGGTCAGGCTGCTCTGTGGCAAGGTGCTTGAGAGCACACCTTTGCCCCAAGGCTGTTGGGCTTCTCCTGTGAGACCTGAGTAGACTGCTTCCCCACCCTGAGCCCCAGCTTCCTTATCTGCAAATGGGGTGCACTAAGGTTGCTTACCACGGAGAGTGCAGCGGCGTGAAGCAGCCCACCATTAATAAATAGCCCTAACTGACCCTCAGGCGTTTGTAATGCTCACGCTGAAAGGATTTTAGGACGGAGCTAGTCTAACCTTCCCATGATCCAGGTTAGCAAACAGGCCCAGAGAGGGGACGGCTCACTCATGGTCACATGGCAAGGCAGCCCAAGCTGGGGCACCGTGTCTGGGTGAGCCAGGCCTGTGCTCGGGCCCCAGCAGAGCATCTTAGACCCAGGGGCCAAACCGGCCCACTGCTGCTGGTAGCAGCCTGCCAGCTAAGAATAGATTTCAGTGACCACTTGCAACCGACTGGATGACGGGAACTACTAACTTTGAATTTTAATTAAGCCAAATATTATTTCCCTCCAAAGAATTCTACTCTTCTCAGCAGTAGACCTGTGTTACAAATCATGGTCCTCAATTATTACTATTCTCTTTTGAATTTTGTCCGTTTACAGAGTGGACATTCATTTTCTCCATCGTTGATTTTGCCGGTTGGCCCCCAGGGCCTGCAGTGTTTATTCTTTCCCTGCCCTTCCCCGCCTCCCCGGCCTGGGGCTCCCCAGACCCCACTGGTCTCGGGGCTAAGGGCCCCACCCGGCCCCCCTCTCTGGCTAGAGTCTAGGCTGTAGCCGGGGAACGGGACTTTGGACTCCCTTCCAACGCTCACCCCACGCCCTCAGCCCTCCTGGTGGCGCTGCCCAACCCCGGGCCCACCTGGCCTCGGGACCAGCTGTCGGCCTGGGGACAGGTGTCATGGTGGCCGGGCGGGGGGCCCTGGCCCCTGGCTCACAGCCCCCGGCTTCCCCGAGTGCCACACTCTCCTCTCCAGCACCCTGCGGGAGCCAAGGCCAGCGTGGGTGGCTGAAATCTCCCCGGTAACAGGGCCTCCCCTCCCACCAGCCTCCTCCCCTAACCTGCGTCCCTCCTCCCTCACCCTGCACCTGCTCTCTGGCCCCT